TCTATACTTGTATTCAAGTTCTTGTCATCAACGTATATAATGTCTGCAAAATGTGGCTAATAACATTGTAATTATTTCTATCAGTTTAATTTCTGATACGATTCCCGTACCGGGGAATTCAGATATTGAACTAATTTTTAGAAAATCGGATAGATAAATGTCCGATTTTCACTTATTCGGACAATTTCTGTCTGAATAAGTGAAAATCATTCGTTATTTTCTATTGAAAATATAAAATAGAAATTAACTTTCATACAAATAAAATCTTTAATCTTATAAATTAAGGCTCCTGAGTAGTCGCCGCGGCCATATTGGAATGATGACGTCAGAAGCGAGAAATGACACGCTGAGAATTCTTGCGTGCCATCTTTAAATAAAAAGATATTTTAAAGAAACAAAACTACAGATCGCTTTAGTATACTCAGCGAATAATTACGAAATGGCACGCAAGAATAATTTGGGCTGTCAAAACGTCACTTTTCACGCCTCATAGTTCATCGATTTGCAACGTGAGGCGTTGCATAAAAATTCTGACATGTGAGTAACATGCTGGTAACTTGTAGCTAACATGTAACATATATATAGCATATATCTTTTATATATCTTTTATATAGTGTAGTACTTTATTAGAAGAATACTTGAGCAAAGGAAGGGCGCAATGCTTAGCCATTTCCAAGAAAATTTGATTTAAATAATATGGCTTTTCTTATATCCAGCTCCGTTATATCGATTAGGGAGAAGGCGGCGTAGCTCGGGCATTAAAGCGGGTGGCTATCACGCATCAGACCCGGGTTCAATTCTTGTCCTTGGGTAAATTAAAAGAAAATTGCCTTCCGAAAGGGCAAATTAAAAAAAAAATGTTAGTTAAATTAATTTTATTTTACATGAATAAATATTTGTTGCTAGATTGTATAAAAAAAGAATGAGAAAAAGAGTGGCAGGGACACGAATTGAACCCGGATAGGATGAGTGATAGTCACGCGTTTAATGCCCGAGCTACACCGCCTTTTCGATAATTGATATAACGGAGCCAGATACAAGGAAAGCCATATTGTTTGAATCATTTTCTTGGAAATGGTTGAGCATTGCGCCCTATCCCTTTGCTCAAGTATTATTCTAATAGAGTATTACACTATAAAAGCCTTTTTCAATTTGGTGATCCCAAGGTCGCGCCCTTCCTTGTTAGTCTCAGGAACGTGCGCATCATAAATATAATAGCACAATACTCTAGTAGTAAAAGTTCTCATTAAAATTTTCTATTCAATATTTTATTTTGTATTAATAATAAAAATAATAATTATTATATTATTAATTACTTATATGTTCTATAACAATTTAAAATATTTATGTTTTATGGTTACTAGAGTATTGTGCTATCACATTTGTGATACGCACGTTCCTGAGACTAAGCGATGCGCTCCTTAGTTACGATTTACGATGCGTTGCTAAGGAGCGAGGGGTAAGAGGGGAGCTGTGAGCAGTAGGCGTGAGCTAAAAAATCCAGCCGAAAGTTACAAATAAATCCCAGTTCACTTATATGGTAAGTCGTTGGACAGGGTTTTTATTCCTACCGCAACATCTTTATTCCCATGTCGCCACCGTCAACTCAGAGTTTCACAGCGACTACTCAGGAGCCTTAAATTATATAACGAACAAAGAAACAATCAGAGCCAAGCGCAGGTAATCGGGCGCAATATAATATTTAAAATTTTAAATTATATATAAAGATACAACGAGTGTACGTTTCGGCCCCCTTTTTAAGCCAGCTTCAGCGCAGGTTAACAATATAATCAAACGCAAACGGACAAACTATAACATAAGGTCGTCTAGTAAAACAATAAATAAATTCGCAACATCAGTGAGTAAAAAAATAAATAAATATACGGCGACAAGATGTAGAGGAAAACAAGTTGATAAAAATGTTGTCTCTCACGTCAGTGTCCCAGAATAAATCTCCGATATGTCGATGCATCTCCACAATGTTTAACTTCTGAAATGATACATCAGGAAGCACGGGAGATAAGTTATTGTTGTGCTTCGATGCTAGTTATCCCGTGCTTCCTGATGTATCATTTCAGAAGTTAAACATCGTGGAGATGCATCGACATATCGGAGATTTATTCTGGGATACTGACGTGAGAGACGTGACATTTTTATCAACTTGTTTTCTTCCATATCTTGTCTCCGTATATTTATTTATTTTTTTACTCACTGACATTGCGAATATATTTATTGTTTTACAAGACGACCTTATGTTATAGTTTGTCCGTTTGCGTTTGATTATATTGTTAACCTGCGCTGAAGATGGCTCAAAAAGGGGCCGAAACGTACGCTCGTTGTATTTTTATATATAATTTAAAATTTTTAATATTAAATTGCGCCCGATTACCTGCGCTTGTCTCTGATTGCCTGTTTCTTTGTTCGTTTTTAGCTTACGGAGCCTTTATTACTTATAACTTAATAAATTATATAAATTTACCTATAATATATATAACATTATTATGTGTTATTATATCCCAGATAGCCAAGTCTGTTCGAACAGATTTTGCCAAATGTCTGCTACAAATTTTTGTCAGCAGAAAGATTCCAGATTGTATATAAAGTCTGTTATATCAGATAATAATAGTAGAATGTCAGCAGAAATGTTACAAAACCTGCTGAAATAATTTGACAGCAGATCAGTAACACAAACCGAACAGGATTTGCATAGAATTATTATAGCAGATTGCCAGCAGAAACCGAGCAGAATCTGCACAACGCAATTTGATGTCAAATTGGTAGCAGAAATCGAGCAGTATCTGCGCGCGCGCAATCTGATGGCAGATTGGTAGCAGAAATCGAATAGGATCTGCTAACATGACTTAACGTCAGATTGTCGGCAGAAACTGAGCAAGATCTGCGCGCACGCATTCTGATGGCAAATTGGCAGTAGAAACTAAACAGAATCTGCAGCTTTTAGCATTTCTATAATTTATTGAAATAGTATAGTTTATTCGCTTACAGCTATGCGGCGCACTATTCAATTTCTATATCCGTATTCAAGTTCTTGTCACGAGCATATATAATGCCTGCAAAATGCGGCTAATAACATCGTAATTATTTCTATCAATTTAATTTCTGATACGACTCCCGTACCGAGGAATTCAGATATTGAACTGTTTTTTGAAAAATTAAACAGATAAATGTCCGATTTTCACTTATTCGGGAAGAATTTATCCTAATAAGTGAAAATCGTTCGTTATGATATTTACTTAAGATATAAAATAGAGATTAACTTTCATATAAATAAAATTTTTTAATTTTGATTTGATTTTATAAATTAAATTATTCAACAAATTTAAGAAATTAGGTAATATATATTATTAATATTATATATTTATATGTTATTAATACAAATGTTAGATAATGACGTCCCGTGAATGGGACATATCGACATCATGTTCGGGTTTCATGAGACCTAATTTAGAACATTTAATTATAGTCATTTTGTGACCAAAATTTAACTAACATACAATGGATATATAAAATAATGGATATATCTACATAAATATCCACTGAATATCTACATAAATATCCACAGAATACTGATGTGGATGTCCAGTGGATATTGGCCTACATATCCTGTAGATATTTATAAGATCTCGTATTGCGGACATTTGGATATTTAAAGCATGTCTAATAGCTGTTTCCTATATATTCATGGATATCCTACTCCTAATACACATTGAGAACATCCAGTAGATATCTAATATACATTAATTTCTGTACGAGAGGATTAAAACTAAACAAAAGATATATTCCATACATTGTATCTTACGGTAAATATAGCGAATAGGGGACCCAACCCTAATGACCTTGACCTTGACATATGTTGTCAAGAACATAATTCTGAGCAACTTTTTCTTCTAATTTAATCGTCGCTCGTTGCTTATTAAAAAGTTATTAACAAAAAAAGTTCGAAATATACCAAAGTACATGCACGGACAGGAAGCACGCGCGCACGCGCGCACACACACACACACACACCAAAGACCCCCCTTGCACCCCTCCGTGAGTGCGTGTGTGTGTGAGTGTGTGTGCTTCCAGTCCATGCATGTACTTTGGTATATTTCAAACTTCTAAGTTTTACCTTTTCCTCTTCCCCCGGCCCATGCGTTCGATTTACTACACATAAATAAATGAATCAGCTAAAAATACATTTTCAAGACATATTTTCAACTTTCACGTGTACATACACATTGATGTTAGCAGGTCGCGGAAATATTCCTTTGTGTTTACATTTGAATACCTTCCCTCAATGTTTATACTATTTCATGTTCATTTTTTATTATTTTCTGTGCTAGTGAATTCTTATGATATAAACTAACTTAAATATCCAGTTTTTCATTGTCAGACTATGTATAAATCTTGATTTTTACAAATTTTTGTTTGTTAATAACTTTTTAATAAGTTATACAACGTAACTCAAACCAAATTTTCAGAAATAGGTTTGGGTTAGGTTATATCTTCCGGAAGTGAAGCCCCCCTGTAAGGAGGGGGGGGGGCGGAACTCACTGCGTTTACGCATGCACTTTCCCATCCACACAACAATTCTAGGCTGGACCTCGCTTCGCATTGTAAAATATATGCATGGACACAGTGGGTTCCGCCCTCCCCCCCTACGGGAGAGAGCCCACTTCCGGAAGATATAACCTAATCCAAACCTATTTCTGATTTAAAATTAAAATTTGATTCAAGTTACGTTATATAACTCAAACCAAATTTTCGTTTCAAATCTAACTTTAACTTTAAATATCTCAAAAATTATAAGAGACCGCCGATTAAGTTATAAAGAAAAGTTACTCAGGATTATGTCCTTGACAACATATGTGAAGGTCAACGTCATTGGGGCTGGGTCCGCTATAGTAAATAACCAAGAAGTTCTTCTTACCAAGAAGTTAAGTTAAAAAGAAAGAAAAAAAAAGAGTTAAAAATACCTAATAAGATAAACATCTACGTACCGTCACTGAACATTACAGATTTTTGTCCTTCTGTACGATGTTTTGAACCCTCTCTCTTTAGAACGCCCACAGGTACCATCACTGTTGGTGGTGGCGGTAAACCGCCGATTAACTGTTGTAAAGGTGGTATAGTTGAGCAGTACTCCATGGGATTATTTGGATTAGGCTGTCTTTCCTATAACCATTTGTTGAATACTTCTAATATCGACATTTGTTCAACTGTTCAGCAAATACACTTATAGATAAATATATAAAAAATGTGTTATGTATTCACAAATTTATATAATTGTAGCTAATATGAAATATATGAGTTTGTATATTAAACAATTTTTAATAGCACAACTTTAGTATATAAA